TGGGAGCCAGTATCTACAAGCATATGAGTACGTACTGGAAGCCAGTATCTACAAGCGTATGAGTACGTACTGGGAGCCAGTATCTACAAGCATATGAGTGCGTACTGGGAGCCAGTATCTACAAGCATATGAGTACGTACTGGAAGCCAGTATCTACAAGCATATGAGTGCGTACTGGGAGCCAGTATCTACAAGCATATGAGTGCGTACTGGGAGCCAGTATCTACAAGCATATGAGTACGTACTGGGAGCCAGTATCTACAAGCATATGAGTGCGTACTGGGAGCCAGTATCTACAAGCATATGAGTGGGTACTGGGAGCCAGTATCTACAAGCGTATGAGTGCGTACTGGAAGCCAGTATCTACAAGCAAATGAGTACGTACTGGGAGCCAGTATCTACAAGCAAATGAGTACGTACTGGGAGCCAGTATCTACAAGCAAATGAGTACGTACTGGAAGCCAGTATCTACAAGCATATGAGTGCGTACTGGGAGCCAGTATCTACAAGCGTATGAGTGCGTACTGGGAGCCAGTATCTACAAGCATATGAGTGCGTACTGAGTCTGTTTCTAGAAGCGTACGAGCGGGTACTGGGAGCGTGTTTCTACAAGCGTACGAGCGGGTACTGGGAGCGTGTTTCTACAAGCGTACGAGTGGGTACTGGGAGTGTGTTTCTACAAGCGTACGAGTGGGTACTGGGAGTGTGTTTCTACAAGCGTACGAGTGGGTACTGGGAGCGTGTTTCTACAAGCGTACGAGCGGGTACTGGGAGCGTGTTTCTACAAGCGTACGAGTGGGTACTGAGAGCGTGTTTCTACAAGCGTACGAGTGGGTACTGGGAGCTTGTTTCTACAAGCGTACGAGTGGGTACTGGGAGCTTGTTTCTACAAGCGTATGAGCGGGTACTGGGAGTGTGTTTCTACAAGCGTACGAGTGGGTACTGAGAGCGTGTTTCTACAAGCGTATGAGCGGGTACTGGGAGCGTGTTTCTACAAGCGTATGAGCGGGTACTGGGAGCGTGTTTCTACAAGCGTACGAGTGGGTACTGGGAGCTTGTTTCTACAAGCGTATGAGCGGGTACTGGGAGTGTGTTTCTACAAGCGTATGAGCGGGTACTGAGAGCGTGTTTCTACAAGCGTACGAGCAGGTACTGGGAGTGTGTTTCAAGAAGAGCATAAGTGCGTACCGCAGACCACTCAGTGGGATCTCAAGAGGATATAATTGACCTTGAGCCAGCGACGTCACTTTAACAGTACTTTAGCTTCACTAAAGTACCGAGAATTGTGACGATTTGGTGGACAGCGTCCACTCTGAGGCAACTGTCGCCTCCGTGAGGTCCCCGTCCCTAAATTGTTTTTTACGGACCTTACGGAGGCGACATAAGCTTACGGAGGCACTCCTCTTGACTACGGGCTCACCATAGCCCGTGCTACTTGGAACTTTGTTCCAGGTAGCAAATCTTTAACAACAACAAAACTCCCCTTGATCAGAACACGACCTTCCAATCGTCTATTGAAACTAAACCAAAGTGTGCAACGCCACGTGAGGGAGGGGGGGGGGGGGCGGGGGTGGCCTCGCGGCTGAGAGGGCAGCGCTCGGGGGTCATAGTCCTAAGGGCCTAGGTTCGATTCCCGGCCGAGGTAGAAACAAATGGACAGAGTTTCTTTCACACTCATGCCATGTTCACCTATCAGTAAATAGGTACCTGGGGGTTAGACATCTGCTACGGGCTTCTTTGGGGCACCTGACAGCTGGGTGGACAGCTCTTCGGATTCGTAGTCCTGAGGTTCCGGGTTCGATCCCCGCTGGAGGCGGAGACAAATGGGTAAAATGTTTCTTTCACCCTGATGCCCGTGTTACCTAGCAGTAAATAGGTACCTGGGAGTTAGACAGCTGCTACGGGCTGCTTTCTGGGGGATGTGTAACAAAAAGGAGGCCTGGTCGAAGACCGGGCCGCGGGGACGCTAAGCCCAGAAATCATCTCAAGATAACCTCTTCCTGATGGGGGGATGTGTTTGTGTGCGTGTGTTAGAGAGAAATATATGTAGTAGACATAACAGAGGAAAAATATATTGTTAGACAGGCGGGGTTCAAGATCTAATAGCTCGATTCTGAAAATACAAATATTAAATTTAGGAAGTGCGTATGGACTCACTCAGTCTCCCCATTCATTTCGCAGGTCCGTTTTCTCTATTACATTTTATCCTTGTCACCATGAAGCGGTTGTAGCAAGTTTAGCTTGTCACAGTGACTCAGGCACTTGAGATGACTTTCGTGTTGCAACTTATCAAGTTCCTTAAGTGTAAGTGGTGACCTCGCTGGATAACATTGCTAATAAGAGGCCCTTAGAGTGTAGATAATATGCTCGTAATTTTGTCAAGTTAAGCATTCTTAAGTCTGGTTAATACATGAAAGCCCCCCCAAGCTGCATGCTGTTGTTGGGGGTGGTAAGTGGGGCTCCTGTTACATGAAATAATTTCGCACATTAACAAATTAAGGGCGAGTCCTATAACTCCTGTGTCACAGTGGCCTACGTTGTCTGTTAACAACTGGAGGCCCAGCTATAATTCCAGAGTACAGAACAGAGGTGAGGTAAGATACTGATCAAACCCCCCTATATACAACACGTTCTCGCGCTTGCTTACAGTCAATATTGGCTTATTTAATAAGTGCATATGTGACATACTAATTGATTGTAAATATTTTAGTTTACCTTGAAAAGCTTCATAGAAAACACCGACCTCACCTAACCTTCTTAGTATGTTAAGATAAGCATCTTATTGCTTCTTATTTACAATTATTACTTAACCTATCAATGGTATAGGTTAAGTAATAATTGTAATTAAGAGCCAATAAGATGCTTATCTTATCTTATCTTACGAGTCAATAAGTACCCGAGAGTTAGGCGACTATTGTAGGTAGTGTCCCAGAATAATGTAGGTCGTCGACCATGGTAAACCGAGCAAGCTTTCTGCCTACAGTGACGGAGACCAACCCACAGGACCACTCTGGCACCGGGCGGAACTCAGGCAGTGCCAGAGACACAGACGGCTGGTCTGGTTAAAGCCAAGGGGAGACATATGTGTGAATGAGTTAGTGTGGAACAAGTGGAGAGCTGCCTCGTATGGGTCACGAGACTCGCAGGTTTTCCTTATTTTTAGGTTCTTATTTTTCATTCAATTGCTTAAATATTTTAATGGTTAGCCTTCAAGTACTCCATGGTCGTGTCTTCAAGTACTCCATGGTCGTGTCTTCAAGTACTCCATGGTCGTGTCTTCAAGTACTCCATGGTCGTGTCTTCAAGTACTCCATGGTCGTGTCTTCAAGTACTCCATGGTAGTGTCTTCAAGTATTCCATGGTAGTGTCTTCAAGTACTCCATGGTCGTGTCCTCAAGTACTCCATGGTAGTGTCTTCAAGTATTCCATGGTCGTGTCTTCAAGTACTCCATGGTCGTGTCTTCAAGTACTCCATGGTCGTGTCTTCAAGTACTCCATGGTCGTGTCTTCAAGTATTCCATGGTCGTGTCTTCAAGTACTCCATGGTCGTGTCTTCAAGTATTCCATGGTAGTGTCCTCAAGTACTCCATGGTCGTGTCTTCAAGTATTCCACGGTCGTGTCTTCAAGTGTTCCATGGTCGTGTCTTCAAGTACTCCATGGTCGTGTCTTCAAGTACTCCATGGTCGTGTCTTCAAGTACTCCATGGTCGTGTCTTCAAGTATTCCATGGTAGTGTCCTCAAGTACTCCATGGTCGTGTCTTCAAGTATTCCACGGTCGTGTCTTCAAGTACTCCACGGTCGTGTCTTCAAGTACTCCATGGTCGTGTCTTCAAGTACTCCATGGTCGTGTCTTCAAGTACTCCATGGTCGTGTCTTCAAGTACTCCATGGTAGTGTCCTCAAGTACTCCATGGTCGTGTCTTCAAGTATTCCATGGTAGTGTCCTCAAGTACTCCATGGTCGTGTCTTCAAGTATTCCATGGTCGTGTCTTCAAGTATTCCATGGTAGTGTCCTCAAGTATTCCATGGTAGTGTGGATGAAGATACCATTTCGTATTTAAAGTTTCAAAGCATTTGTTACATGGTTCAAGTCATTAATAACTCGACACTGTGAAGAGTACTTATTTAATGGGAAAATCTAAATAATTATTGCCTAAGTATCGCTAACAAAGCTTCGCGGAACATTTTATGGAAGTGATGATATAAAATCAAGAGCAATGGTGTAACCTTTGACAAGTCGCTGGCTTCCTTTCCCCATCGAAGCGGTGGCAGCCCAGGTAAATTTAGGAAAATATACTATGTTTAGAAGAAGGTTAATATTTGTAAAAGCTTCTGCTGCATTTCCCTTAAATCTGGAAAGTGAAGATTAGCGTAGAAGGTACAATGACGGATGATTAGTGAAGAGTCTAAAAAGACTCTTCACTAATCATCCGTCATTGTACCTTCTACGCTAATCTTCACTTTCCAGATTTAAGGGAAATGCAGCAGAAGCTTTTACAAATATTAACCTTCTTCTAAACATAGTATATGTTTAGAAGAAGTTTTTGAAGTATGTATGAAGTATTTAGAAGTATGTTTTTTTTAGAAAAAAAAGAGATTGACAAATAAAGTGTTATTGAGCACAAAAGGTACTGGTAAAGCAATAACTCCACGGAGATAACTCCACATGAGACATGGAGGCATGGCAGGATGTGCAAAATAGCCCTCCGTTTAAAAACAGTGTATTAAGTACGCTGAATCAATTCAATCAATTCAAGCGCCCAATCCCTTTCAAGAATCTCCCTGTAAACATTAGGGGCATAACTAGCCGACCTCTGGTGGTGTTCAAAGAGCATTGGATGGAACACCTTCAAGGGATACTTGATCAACCGAGCTCTGGTTCATACGGCAGACTGCGATCAGCTGCGTTTAACAGCCTGGTTGATGAGACCACTACCCATGGTGCCAGGTCAGAGACCGTAGCGCGGGGACGTTGGCCCCAGAACCACCACACGATAAGTCAGATTAGGCGCCTCTGTGTGGGGCCCAACACAGCCGGCATCACAGGAGACATTGCCAGTCACGTAGAAGCAGCGACGGAGACAGCACCACCCCTCCAAGGTCCTCCGTAGTTCCTATCCTCCGGCTCTCAGACACCGTGTACGAACATACTTGAAAAGTAAGATGGAAAACCAGTATATATTTGTTATAATATCTTGCAGTAATTACTTCGAGGCCGATTGATGTGGGCGTCTGTGCCAGGTTAAGCTCTGGTGTAGCTGGTCAGTGACTAGTAACCGAGCGGGTGGCCACATAGACACAGCCTTCTGTGAGCTAGAGGCACGTAGAATAGCCCTTCAAGGTCTTCGTGTCTGTGAGCACGACCAGCTCGTGCTCTCAGTTTATCAAGCGTCTGTCTGGAATCAGTTTCACCCAGTCGTAAGTGAACCGAGACAAACCCACCAAACTCATCGATGTTCCTTACTCTGAGAATCCGAACAAATTAAGTCGCTTAAAATTTCATTAAAGCGTTCCCAATTTGGACGTAACTGCCGGACACGTCCAAACTGAGCGTCCAAAGTGTCCGGCTGTGTCAACACGAGGACTGAACCTTCGTGGACCCCAGGAGACCCCCAGGAGACCCCAAAGAGACCCCCAAGAGAACCCCAGGAGACCCTCAAGCTACCCTCAGGAGACCCCAAGGAGACCCCCAAGAGACCCCCCCAGGAGACCCCCAGGAGACCCCCGCAATAAAGTACCGACTCTTGCATCAGTACAAGACAAGTTTTAACTTAAGAGATGGAGCAGTGATTCATAGTGTTGTTATGGTGGTGGTGTGTAGTTATGGTGGTGATGTTATGGTGGTGGTGATGTAGTTATGGTGGTGGTACTCAACCTAGTTGTGCTTGCGGGGGTTGAGCTTCGGCTCTTTGGTCCCGCCTCTCAACTGTCAATCAACTGGCGTACAGATTCTTGAGCCTACTGGGCTCTATCATATCTACACTTGAAGCTATGCATGGAGTCAGCCTCCACCACATCACTGCTTAATGCATTCCATTTGTTAACTACTCTGACACTGAAAAAAATCTTTTTAATGTCTCTGTGGCTCATTTGGGTACTCAGTTTCCATCTGTGTCCCCTTGTTCGTGTTCCACCCGTGGTGGAACACGAGTGGAACACGAGCCTTTGTCCACCCTGTCAATTCCTCTGTGAATTTTGTAGGTGGTGATCATGTCTCCATTTACTCTTGTCTCCCAGGGACGTGAGGTTTAGGTGCTGTTGTTATAATGGTGATGTAGTTTCGTGGTGTTATTGTTGTTATGGAGGTGGTGATGTAGTTATGGTGATGTTATTATGGTGGTGGTGTTATTATGGTGGTGATGTAGTTATGGTGATGTTATTATGGTGGTGGTGTTATTGTTGTTATGGAGGTGGTGATGTAGTTATGGTGATGTTATTATGGTGGTGGTGTTGTTATGGTGGTGGTGTTGTTATGGTGGTGTTGTTATGGTGGTGATGTTGTTATGGTGGTGGTGTTGTTATGGAGGTGGTGATGTAGTTATGGTGATGTTATTATGGCGGTGGTGTTGTTATGGCGGTGGTGTTGTTATGGTGGTGTTGTTATGGTGGTGTTGTTATGGTGGTGGTGTTGTTATGGTGGTGGTGTTGTTATGGTGGTGGTGTTGTTATGGTGGTGGTGTTGTTATGGTGGTGATGTAGTTATGGTGGTGATATAGTTATGGTGGTGTTATTATGGTGGTGGTGTTGTTATGGTGGTGATGTAGTTATGGTGGTGATATAGTTATGGTGGTGTTATTATGGTGGTGGTGTTGTTATGGTGGTGATGTAGTTAAGTTGGTGATGTAGTTATGGTGGTGATGTAGTTATGGTGGTGATGTAGTTATGGTGGTGATGTAGTTATGGTGGTGTTATTATGGTGGTGGTGTTGTTATGGTGGTGGTGTTGTTATGGTGGTGGTGTTGTTATGGTGGTGATGTAGTTATGGTGGTGATGTAGTTATGGTGGTGTTATTATGGTGGTGGTGTTGTTATGGTGGTGGTGTTGTTATGGTGGTGATGTAGTTATGGTGGTGATGTAGTTATGGTGGTGTTATTATGGTGGTGGTGTTGTTATGGTGGTGTTGTTGTTATGGTGGTGATGTAGTTATGGTGGTGATGTAGTTATGGTAGTGTTATTATGGTGATGGTGCTGTTATGGTGGTGGTGTTGTTATGGTGGTGATGTAGTTATGGTGGTGATGTAGTTATGGTGGTGTTATTATGGTGGTGGTGCTGTTATGGTGGTGGTGTTGTTATGGTGGTGATGTAGTTAAGGTGGTGATGATGTTATGGTGGTGTTATTATGGTGGTGGTGCTGTTATGGTGGTGGTGTTGTTATGGTGGTGATGTAGTTATGGTGGTGTTCTTATGGTGATGGTGCTGTTATGGTGGTGGTGTAGTTATGGTGGTGATGTAGTTATGGTGGTGTTGTTATGGTGGTGTTGTTGTTATGGTGGTGGTGTTGTTATGGTGGTGATGTAGTTATGGTGGTGTTGTTATGGTGGTGGTGTTGTTATGGTGGTGGTGTTGTTATGGTGGTGGTGTTGTTATGGTGGTGTTGTTGTTATGGTGGTGGTGTTGTTATGGTGGTGTTGTTGTTATGGTGGTGGTGTTGTTATGGTGGTGTTGTTGTTATGGTGGTGGTGTTGTTATGGTGGTGTTGTTGTTATGGTGGTGGTGTTGTTATGGTGGTGTTGTTGTTATGGTGGTGTTGTTGTTATGGTGGTGGTGTTGTTATGGTGATGGTGTTGTTATGGTGGTGTTGTTGTTATGGTGGTGATGATGTTATGGTGGTGGTGTTGTTATGGTGGTGTTGTTGTTATGGTGGTGATGATGTTATGGTGGTGGTGTTGTTATGGTGGTGTTGTTGTTATGGTGGTGATGATGTTATGGTGGTGGAGTTGTTATGGTGGTGGAGTTGTTATGGTGATGTTATTATGGCGGTGGTGTTGTTATGGTGGTGGAGTTGTTATGGTGGTGGAGTTGTTATGGTAATGCTGTTATGGTGGTGGTGTTGTTATGGTAATGTTGTTATGGTAATGCTGTTATGGTGGTGTTGTTGTTATGGTAGTGTTGTTATGGTGGTGTTGTTGTTATGGTGGTGTTGTTGTTATGGTAGTGTTGTTATGGTGGTGTTGTTGTTATGGTGGTGTTGTTGTTATGGTAATGTTGTTATGGTAATGGTGTTGTTATGGTGGTGATGATGTTATGGTTGTAGTGTTGTCATAATTATAATTACCTAAGGGTAGTTACAGGATGAGAGCTGCGCTCGTGGTGTCCCGTCTTCCCAGCACTCATTGTCATATAACGCTTTGAAACTACTGACGGTTTTGGCCTCCACAGCCTTCTCGCCTAACTTGTTCCAACCGTCTACCACTTTGCAACACCAACACTATGGTGGTGTTGTAGTGGTGGTGTTGTAATGGTGGTGTTGTAGTGGTGGTGTTGTAGTGGTGGTGCTGTAGTGGTGGTGTTGTAGTGGTGGTGCTGTAGTGGTGGTGCTGTAGTGGTGGTGTTGTAGTGGTGGTGCTGTAGTGGTGGTGCTGTAGTAGTGGTGATGATGTGGTCGCGGTGTTGTCATAGTGACTGCGTCATGATGGTGTTTTTCTTATTATTTTCTACCATATACATCTGGCTACACATTTACAATGCTAACCGGCATATATACATTTTGTTCTATCCTCCAGGGACAGGGTTAGAGATCTGTTAAACATATTGTGCAATGATTTATTGAACAATCAGCCACAGAAGGTGGTTGCACTGCTTTTAAAATGCTTATGTAACCTCCATACACGAATGCACAGATTTACGTCTGTCCCTCGTAAACAGTGTTCAAGGTGTGTCACATATCGAGGTATTTTTTTTCTACATATGATTGGTGTGTCGTGGTTACGTATTAGAGCAGTTGTGTATTAATTACGTAGCATCAGTAATCTGCTATCAGAACTATAACAAACTCTGACTTGAGACAACATACAGCCACTCTGTTCAAGTCCCTTAACATGCTAAACATATACTCACTTCACACATTCTCATGTGTTATTTACATGTACAAAACCTTGTTACTAAATACTAATTCTGATCTGAAACATTTCATTTATAGGTGTAATAGAACCTATGAGCACCACACCAGAAATAAATATATCTTTGATAACCCCATATCTCCCCCATAGACTCTTTGATATCCATTAAGTCTAACTAAATCTGTGCGAACACTCCATGCAAATAAAAGGGCCCCAGTCTTTGGAACTCACTCCCTGATGAATTAAAAAATGGTCCAACCTATGCCCTATTAAAAAGTAAAACCAAAACGTACCTAATTTCATCCTCACAGTTTCCTACCTTGTGCTTCAAACTCCCTCTGTATCTCTTAGTACCCACTTCACCAATATTAGTACTTAAGACATATATCTTCACTAGTGTAATCACCTCTGTCAATTTACATTGTAGTTATTTGTTGATATATAACCTTGCTATAACGTACCTTTTCATCTTACCTGATATGTTAGATTAAAGACCTGCCTGTAACGCTGTGTGTTATTGGCTTTGCAAGAATATAAAAAATCACTCTAATGTAATCTCACCAACCCATTGTACCTTCTTGTAATTATATATATATATATATATATATATATATATATATATATATATATATATATATATATATATATATATATATATATATATATATATATATATATATATATATATATATATATATATATATGACAATGTCAGACCACGGAGGAAAATTGAAACAGGAATTTCCTTAAGTACTTTCGTATATTAATACATCTTCAGAAGGAGTCACTCCTTCTGAAGATGTATTAATATACGAAAGTACTTAAGGAAATTCCTGTTTCATTTTTCCTCCGTGGTCTGACATTGTCACATTTTTAATCACGTGTTTACTTTCGTGATATACACACACACACACACATATATATATATATATATATATATATATATATATATATATATATATATATATATATATATATATATATATATATATATATATATATATATATATATATATATATATATATATATATATATATATATATATACATATATATATATATATATATATATATATATATATATATATATATATATAT